GCAGTAACTTTACAGTATAGAAGTGATTGTAATTGCAATTGTAAGTAAAAATTATGTTTTTAAATGTACTTGTTTTAACATAAATTTATTTTATATTTATATTGATACAAAAGTATAATAATAAATAAATTATACATATTTAATATTATACGACTGAGTAATAAAAATTTAACTAAACATTACTTAAAAATATTTTAAAAATAAATAAATACTTTAACTACGTTTGTACACTATTATTTTTATATATTTGTTTTTAAAAATCCGAAAGCCTCTCCTCATTTCAAGATCGAATTTTTCGAAATCCATTCCTGGACCGTGGACAGCAACTAAAAAAAATTTTTTTTTTAATTGAATTTCTTATTCCAAACTAACAAACAGGAGCAACACGAATGTTGAATATGCACACACTAGTGGTGGTGACACTACTGCATACTAGTATTGATTATAAAGAATGGATTACTTACAGAACACAATTTCTTTAAAAAAATTTAGAGATTTAACTGGACATTTTTTCTGGCGGCCATCCCAATTTATGAAAGGCAGAGTGTTTTCTAAAAAGAAGTGAGGCAGTGCTTTTCTTAATGGAGTAGCACCCACAATGGAGCGAACGTATTCGACCTGTAATTAAATAATGAACTCAGTATTATAAAATAAATATAAAATACTTGAAACACTCAATGAACATACCAAATCATCGTGTGAGTACTGTAGTAAAATATTGTCTGCAGTTTATGTCCTCAAAACATTTTAAGGGAAAATGTTTAAATTTAATGATTTTGGAATGAGTTTCATCGTCAATTTATTCAAAACTACACTATGAGTTGTCAAAGTGTTTTTTATAGCTGAAATATCTACTTTTAACTCATTAAAAAATTTTTTTTGATCTTCGTTTTCAATGTTTATCAACAAAAAAAAAAAATAAATAAATTAAGTACGTACGAATAAAAAAATAGTAAATGTAATATTGTAGTTAATAAAGAATTGTTAGAAATGAGTTTATTTCGAACATTCTTTGAAAAAACCATAAGTTTCGCTTACGAAAGGTCGAGGGAGAGTGTCACAAAGAAACATTCTCATAGAAGAACGTCTGTTTTCAGAATCAGGAAAATTGTGAGACGCTATTATATTTTGCCTTTCAGCAAGGCACGTTCAAAGACATATTCTTAGAATCCTCACATTTCCGCATAACTCTTTATATATCATAAAAAAAAACTTTAAAACACAATTTTAAAAACAATACATATATCATATCATGTTAATATGTGACAACAGACTTCTTAAAATTTTAGCATCTTAGCTCAAACGCATCCTTGAGTTATTTGAGCATTTAACATAGGGTAATGTTGGCAATGAAGATGAAGAAGTTGCTACTTTGAGCAACAAAACATAGTGGCAATAATTGATGAGAACAAAAAAGCATTATTTATTATTGCAATCAGATTAAGTGAATGTAGGTGGTGGCCTCACGAACGATTCGAGTGCGATTAAGTGAACGGAACTGATTTCATGGCATTGAACTAAACAATGATCTTTAAAACTTGAAGTAAGATGTTAAGTTTCACCAAGACGTGCTAGTAAATTTAACTCATTTCGTGCTTTGTGATCTCAACTATCCGAAAAACAGGTTCATTATGGCGTGCAAGCTCAATAGAAAGCACACTTTACAGAACATTTATTCGTTGGAAATATTAAATAGAGAAAACTAGTACTTTTTTCAGATGAATAAATATTGGAAATATTAAGAAGAGAAATTTAGGGTACCTATCCTTGTGACGGTTGCAATGATATCCAAGGAAATAATAATTAAAGACAATTTAAATAATATACAAAATACAAAAAAAAAGGAAGCAAACAAGATTAGTTTATTTAGATAAGTCGTTGGAAGACAGTAAAGCCATGCATTTTCTTTTTAGTTGATAAAAAATAATATATAAGGTCAGATATCCAATATTATAAGTTGTAGGGATTGATATGAATAAAAGCATTTTACATTTTGAGCTAAAATATGAATACTACTTTTACTAGT